GGCGCCAGCAGATAAAAGATAAAGCAGCTACGGTAATTAGCACGCCTGCCGAGACGATTCCAGGGACAAGAGCATCGCGAGCCTTATCTGAGGAACGGATACGTTTCAAGGTTATCATTTCTTATCATCAAAGACTTCATACGCAATAGAAGTCAGGAGGAACTAGAATATGAACATGCAAGGTCACACTGGGAGCAGGGTTTTGACGAGATGAGCTGGTGTTTTCTTAGTACAAGTTGGAGGAGATGGCTGTACCTCGAACTCTTCTCTCTTAGCCATTCGCATCATGCCACGATTCTCTACTTTTAGTTTAGCAGTATAGGTTTTCAATCGAGCCCATTGCCTAAATTCCCAAACGTTGGTCCAGCTATAAAAAATAAAGGTGATATCCGCAAAAACAACAACATGTTAAGATGATAGAGAACGACCTTAGTCTGTGTAGATTGTAACTATTCACCGAAAAATGAGAACGTGTCGCATTTCGTACAAAATTATAGCACTTCATGCGCAATAGTGGTGATAGGATCAAGTGGAGTCCACTTCGGTATGTAATTATACTTTTGATTAACAAATCGGACGAACGCGAAGCGATTTGTTAATCTCGACCAATTAATCATAACCATCACGATTTCCGATAAAAATACATTTAGAACAATTGTCTCAAGTTGAAAATTCCTCCATTTTGGAAATTCCCCAGTTTTTCTTAGGATAAGTGGTTGTTGCTATGGTTATTGTGATCAATTTTTTTATAAGTTGATTAGCTTAGTGGATTAAGTACGATTGGCTTCTTCAACTGTCAGATAACAAGTGTCCGATTACAGCCAACTGTCTTGTTACACTGTTCGATTACAACTCTACAAAATAATTAGTGAAAAATAAAGCGTTAGTGCACTAATCACATTTGAGGAAATTGTAATGGTTATGATTAACCCACAAATAGTTTCCTGTAAATTCAACAATATTTGGCTTTTTGGAAACGTCCAGAGACTAAAGTAGTAGGAACTTAACTAATTTCGTTGTCTTGCTCTCCCGGAAAAGGTTTTGTTATTAAAGCTTTCGCAACCGAAAGGAGCTGAAAGTTTTGGAAAAGTAATTGAGGCCAACACTTATTATAAGCAGAGCTTGTTACATCCAAGTTTCTAAATACAGAAACAGCTAGTTTGTTTTAAATGGATTTTACTTTTTCAGTTTTCTTCCTCTATCTCATATCCTGTTTATCCTGTTTTTTTTTTAATGTCTCAGGATTAGATCCTAAAAAATGCAGCTAAGCGACGTGGGAATTTATTTAACAAATATTACTTACTTTAGTAAATATTAGTAACTTTAATAAATATTTATAACTTTAGAGCAACCACTGTGATACATCGCTTACATTCAGCCTTGAATTAAGGCAAGCTCATAAGAGTATTTTAATCTAGTGGTTTTATGTTGAACAGCTCAAGGTTAACCAAGCCTCCTTAACATGAAGTGATTAGATGTATTACAGTCTACTTCCCACGAAATGATCGTCGAGTGATCATGCAAATTTCCTCCATTCAGCAGAAGAAGTTTGCTTCATAACCCACAATATTTTTATTCTCCCGGCGCCATTTCAAAACGTTTTTGAAATCAAGAAACTGAAAACGCGGTCTAAGATTCTAAATAGTAACCTAGCTTTCACATAACAGTCTTCAAATGCATTAGGAATATGACCACAAACCCCGCATTTTTATCGCGCTTGGCAGCCTAGGACGCATATTCCTTTTTTACTTCTTGACAATCTGCTTCAAAAGTAAAGAGCTACACAAAAAAGGCATTTGTAATCTAAGATAAAAACTTCTTACCAAGCGAGCGAAAGGGCCGTACTGGGAAATATTGGCCCAGGTCTTGGCAGTCTGGACCAATTGCAGCCAGGTTCTTACAAAAAACGACTGGGGGCCAATATTCCCCATTGTGGCTCGAGCAAGCGAGGTTATTGAGTTAAATTTGTTCTATAACTTGCTTGCTTATCAAAAGAAAAATACAGGGCGTATGACCGTTTCCGTGGAAACAGTCCGTATGGCAAAATACCGACCAAGTAAGAACCGATCAGAACGCTCGGATCTACTTCAAGACTACCTTGCTATATAATAACTAGAAGTAATTAAGTTATATAATATATCAATGAACTGTACCTCCTAAAACATTTGTAGGTGAAGCCGTTGGATCTGAACAAAAGAAAAAACTGTTTTTTCACACAACAACTACCAATGACCAATGACCAATACCCCAGGGCTCTTAGCTGCGAGGATCTTCTAATTTCATCTTTCCACCGCAGTGCAAATATGTGAATTTTCATATATCTAAATCTCCATTCACTCGGATGTTTATTTGTACCCAATTCATTGACCAGCTCCCAGTTGGCTTGTTAGCTCAATTGGTAGAGCGCTGCACCGGTATCGCAGAGGTCATATCATGGGTTCATACTTGCAAAACGTTTCCTTTAAACTCAAAAGCTTGACATGATGAAGAGCACTGAGACAACCTTACACCAAAATACAATTTTCAACTCTAACTATAGAACATTTAGATATCAAATAGTTTTCCAATAACTAAGATCACAGCTCTCCTTTCGAAGTCGATATTAAATTAAAAGATCTTTGATGTGCTCCAGAGATACCAGCTTTTTCACACACAATTAAAGGAAAACAAAAACAAAAAATAGCTCGCTTAAGCAGGTAAAGTTTTCGAAAATATTCAATGTTGGATCATAAACAAAAGTTTTTCATTTAATAAAACTCATCGATAGATTTTTCCTCCACGTTAGTATTTTCTTTCTTTTTCTGTTGTATTGAGTGGAAACGAAATCAAATCATCACACAAACAACTAATCCAATTTAATATTTGTTCAAAATTTCAAAAACTCTTACCTTCAACAATCAACCTCACTGTGCAATTTAATTTTCCATAGCTATTGGAAGCCAAGCAAACAAACGTTCCACTGTCCGATTTAAGAACGTCCGTAATTTGCAGATACCAATGTGATTTTACAAAATACCGATCAGAGGGCAGATGAATCTTTCTCTCATCCTTATACCAAATGTAATTTTTAGCATCGCTCACGTTACAGATCAGCTTGACTTCCTTTTGTCTCATTTGTTCAACGAGCCTTGGAGGAGACGACCGCCTCAACTGGGGCGCAGCTGCAGCATAAGACACAAGAAAATCTAAAACTTCAATGTTTGGTCAAAAACAACAGTTGTACTTTTTATAAAACTTATCGATAGATTTTTCCTCAACTTCAGTATTTTCTTTTTCGTACTGAGCGGAAAAATCGCATCTTCTCATTCATGAATGAACACTTTTTATACTCACCACATCCTCTCTCATCGGATCCATCACCACAATCGTTTTTTCCATCACATTGCAAATGACCTTGTATGCAGTCTCCATCACAGTGAAACATTTCTTTTGAACAAACCAGAGGAGCCGTCGTTGGACATCCATTTTCATCTGACCTATCATGGCAATCACCAAGACCATCACACCTCCAAAACAATGGAATACAACTTTTATCGGCACAAGTAAACTGGTCTGCTTGGCAGGTTTTGGCTTCTAAAAGAAAGAAAAATAGGCTGTATTTTAACAACTAATTACACTCATAAAATCACGTATCTACCATATTATCAGAACTACAAGGAAATGTGGATGAACTAACATTTGCAAGAGAAGATGAATTTTCAAAACTCAGTCGATAATGTACTGTAAATGACATGAAAATGTTTATCTCCTAGGATTAAGCATATCAACATCGTCTGTATGAAACTTGGCCATTCCTGGTATTGGATTAAGGCTTCGCCATTCCATTTTAGATCGGTAGTCATTTCAGATATTCCTCGCTCCCCAAACTGGTGAGCTTTATGATAACTCCAGCAAATAACTCCAAACTTCAGCGGTCGGCATCTGTCGATACTCCTCTTTGACTCGTTGTTGCGAACTAAACTCGAAAACTAAAGCCATGTTTTGCGCTTAATGTCCTGTTGAAACTTTGGATTGCAGCTGCATTCTCTTCAAGAATCGGTCCTAGAACTCCACTTGTAAGTTTATGTGTCGAAGTTTGGGGGCTAAAATTTGGAATTTAAAGCTGAACGATTGCATTATCGCGCATAATAGAGGTCCGCATTAACCATTGCAGGTGAACCCGCTGGCCCTTTATTTTTCCTGGAAGGCCTGCAAGTGTAGTATGGCTGGCAAGTGCTTTTTCGAAACCAGAGAGGCTTCATTCTTCAGCGAGGTTGATAAAGCCTTCAGAATGTAGAGGTGATATCAATGATCATCTACAAGCATGTCACTTAGGTCAGCTTAGAGGAACGGTACAAGAATATGTGCTTATCGCTAACAGGTCAGGGTTGCCAGACGACCTTTCCCCTGATCAACTTGAAAAACTTTGGATTTGCGAAAAGCATAGAGGAAACATGGGTAAAAACTGGCGACCACGTTGCACTTGCCAGTACCCGCTGCTCAACGGCCGAAAAAAGCAGCTAAATACTAAAAATGCAGTTCATCTCGACATGTCAAGGGAAATTAACACTATCTTTGCGGAACTCGTTCCAACAGGTTCCCGTAAGTATGGTTTTATGTAAATTTTAGCTTACCAGCCAGGTATTGTCCTGAAATGTGGGGCAGGGTTTAAGTTAAGATAATATCTACACATATGTTGAGGTGCGGTAAATGTCAGAATTCAGTATTTTGGAACTTGATTAACATTTGGGCCAAAGCTCGCACGCGAGTGAGTATAAAACAAAACAACTGCTGTAATTTCGTCCCAAGATACGTCGTGATACCACATGAAGGCCATGTGGCAGCTAGTGCAACTTGATAAGTTAAATCACACTTCGACTTGTAACATTGCTCTGAAGCAAACTTGAAATCTACTACCTAAGTTTTCAACACCACAAAATTGTACCGTTAGTCAATTATGTATATAGTCGGGAAACACAGCAACTGCACTAAAAAATGCGCAATACATTAGGTTTTACTGCCCTACCTTATTTCTAACATCTACATGTTTACAAAAGTATTTTTTTATGTCATACACGCAAGGCGAGATACTAGATAAATAAACTTGGAGAGTAATTTGACACCAATGTTTACGCCGATGCAAAATAACATTCCTTCTGTTTTTGACATTTATACATTTACACAAAGCTCTTTTGTGTTATTGATATAAAAACGAGCAGGCATCGATTTTCGCCCTTTTATCCCTATATAGAGTCAGAGTTTAACAACCTTTGCAACACACCCCCTATCCTAAATTTAAGAGAGTACCCGGGGTCACGTGATCACAGTGCAACAATTTTTATGTTATCTATAAGTATTGCTGCTTATTATCATTTTGCATTATTGTTGTATTTCGTGCTTTTCAGGAATCTAAGTATCTTGTTACAAGCTGCACAAGATCAAACTCGCGGAGAACATGACGTTGTTGCAAGGGCAACGTCCCTAAAAAAGTACTCAGGAAGAGGACGAACCTTATAGGTGATATAACGCTACCTGATCCCATAGATAAAGCAGACCATCATATGTATTGACACCTAAAGAACTTTTAAGCACAAATGTTCAATTGAAATGTTGCGTGCAAGCAAAATTGTTTTCTCGGCGTGGCCACACACTATAACATTTTGCGCAACATTGCTGATGCAGCAATCAAGTTATGTTTACAGGTACGTGGCCAAAATGGGCAACATTTTCGAAAAAATAGACAAATAGTGTTTTGGCTTTCAATTGGATGACTTAAAAAGAGAAACTGGTTGATTAATGTACCATACAATTGCACGCGGTGGTGCTGATGGTGAACAGAACGGAATTTTTTGCGCGTATTGCTTCTTTCGCAACAATGCGTGCAAAGATTTCAGTGTGGACACACCATGCAGTCAATCACATGGTGAGAGAACTTCAAATTTTTGTTTGATTTTCTCAACTCCCAGACTCGCCAAACGAATGGCAGCTTTAAATCTTGCAACAGTCACATCAATGCCTGCCACCAATAAAGCTTGCCGCGACGCCGCCTCGACCGAAAGCAAATGCCTTTACAGCTGATTGGACTCTGGGATGCAGATCTGAGACCAACAGCCAGGCTCTGGAGACGACGAGGCAGCTGAAAGTACCAGCGAGTTAGCAATGTCAGCGTTTACAGATGCCATGGAGAAACTGAACCCGGTAGCAACCGGTGCTGGCCGCGTCAGTCCCTTGACCTTTCAGCTGAAAAGTACATGGGAGGAGGCAAAAGAACACGAGAAAGAGATTTGCATTGACAACGCTACTGAAGCTTGTACTCTCGTTTGTGATATCATAGCGCCCAAGGCTGGAAAACAGCTATTTCAGGCCTGTTTTACAGGGACCAGCTACTTAGACCTTTTACCGTTGATGCAGGCCTACAGCAACGCCATAACGAGTACCTTGAAGACCCAAATTCTAAGCCTATATACGTATCGATATCCAGTGAAGACACTTTAGAAAATCCACGAGCCCTACGCAAAGTTAAGCGAGTGGCGAATTAGACGCGCTAGAGCTCATGCAAGAGAGTGTGGTCCAGGTTCTTTGGTCGAAAAGTCCCCGTGTCATCGAGTTCGACTGTCCGCCAATAAAGCTTGACCATTTCTTAGACTTCGCGAACCGCCCGTACTTTTATCAAGACTTGTCATTTAGAACGAGGAAACTGAGGCTCAGCAGTGGCGAGAAGATCACAATGCCAAATGTCATTCTCAAAGTCACAAGGTCAACAATGGTCAAGCAGTACCTTCAGTTCTGCGAAGAAGAACAATTTGAACCACTAAGCCGTTCAACCCTATTTCGCATCCTCGAGGTAAGGGAAGCCTATCAACAGAAGTCCCTTAGCGGCCTGGATAACACAGCAGCTGATGGGTCGACGGGGTTCGCGCAACTCCTCCGAACAGTGGACGAGCTTGATCTGATTGGGCTCGCAAAGAAAGTGGCAGAAGAACTGCGGAGAGCCCTCAGCGAGGGTAAGAGGTACCTCAAAACTCAGTTTCAGAGTCACTGCCAGGAAGATGAGGGCGAATGTCTCGACCACTGTCGTAAGTTTGGTCTCAGCGATCCAAACGATCCAGATTTCCAGGAACAATGCTCACATCAACACACGCTTCTCTGCCCTCAATGAAACGAGATTACTTTCGTTTTGCAGAAGATGCAACAGATTGTTAAGGATAACAAAATCTTAAGTTTTTACAGCGATGACCAAAAAAATGACTTGTTGTACGACATCCAGAAATCTTCGGAGGCAATCGTCCAGTGGAAAGCTCACATTAATAGGGTCGAGGCAGAGACTGAATACTCTCACAGCTTCACCAACAATTACAATGAACAATACTCAAGTGAGCCAGGTTACAGCTACGAAATCGCTTGATGTAATAGTAGACGATAAACTCGATTGGCATAGTCACATCGAAAAATTAACCAAAAAGATCGCCTCTGGTATCGGGGTCCTAAAGCGAATTAGGCACCTGATCCCAGCATTAACCTTACATCTCGTTTACCAAGCCTTGGTAAAACATCACTTTGATTACTGTGACATTGTTTGGGGTAACTGTGGGTAAACGCTACTAGAAAATTGCAGAAAATGCAGAAATTGCAGAATAGAGCAGCCCGTGCGTTGACATTCTCTAATTATGATGCTGATGCAACTGAGCTACTCGAGTTTTTAAGGTGGAAAAATCTTGCACGCCAGCAGGAAATTCACAAAGCCACCATGATGTTTAGATGTCTGCACGGGCTAGCTCCAGAGTATCTGTGTTCAAAGTTTACGTGGCGTGACTCTGCTTATGACCTCAAGGACTCTGAAAATAAGCTCAATGTTCCATTACCGCGCACTAATTATTACCGAAAAAGCTTTAGCTACAATGGCGCCACATTATGGAACAGTCTACCATGCGATATAAAGAACACAGAGTCTCTGGGGTTTTTAAACGTAAGATCAATGACATTCTTTAAGTCTAACGCACGGCACTCACGGACACAGAGAACAGCTTAATAAAGCCTACGCAGTCCAGGATTACTTTGGATACTCCATTGAAAATGTTCTATAGCGTTACTTATCCAATGTAGCTGTTCCGCCATGAAGTTTCTGCAGCTGCGCTATAGAGAGAAGCAAAGTGACTGGTACGGAAAAAGAGGGTTAAGTTGGCACATTAGTAGCATTGTGTCTCGAAGCCAGTCTAACACGATGGAAGTCATCTCGTACGCTCACCTCTTTGATCAGTGTACTCAGGACTGATATGCAGTTACGTCAATTCTCGTAGATCTTCTGAAGCAGCTGTCAAGAATCCTTTGCTGCAGAAAGTCCATCTGAGGTCAGATGAAGCCGGTTGCTATCACAACAGCTCCCTAGTAACTACTGTAAGAGATGTCGCAAAAGGAGTTGGGGTTGAAGTTCATAGTTATCACTACTCGGAGCCGCAGTCTGGTAAAGACATTCGCGATCGTATCCTCTGTCCAATGAAGTCCTCTATTCGTGCTTACTGCAACAAAGGGCACGATGTTCTACCTGCCGTGGACATGAGAGATGCATTGACGCAACACCCAGTAAAGGGAACAACAGCTGCAGAGCATAGTCGACGAATCAAAGAACACTCTTTGGAAATGTTATGGCATCGGTAAAGGGAAGTACATTCCATATGACGTAATTTATATCAAGCACCAAGGTCAAACGTCCCTTCAAACCATATCATCAAGGGCTTTATGATATATAGCGATGTTAAATGGGTGATTCACCGCGAAATGTGGCCAATTCCGACATTTGTTTTGATACCACGAATCACAATGGATGCCGCCTACTTTTCGAAGGCAATACCTAGCTATTTGTTGAGGTTATTATGGATTTCACCAATTTGGTTATTAGAAAAATTCTGAAGTGAGCCATGAAGCCGGGCTGCAAAGCGGGTAAGCTGTATTTATGACGAAATCTGCTCCAGTGGTTCGATTTTAATGTAAGCGAAAAAAACGCGAATGCTCGTACATGTGCTAATTCAAACGGTCATAACTTTTGAGAATGTTTTTGCATATAAAGGTCTAAAATTAATGGCTGTGTAGGATAGACTTGTCAACCAGGTCCCGAATCTCAAAACTTAACGTCTAAATCAAGGTTATCTACGGCCATCTGCCGATGGCGTTTTTTAGTGGTCAGAATATGCTGAAATTCGCCTTTTCAAATATATTGAGAGGGCAAATTCTAACTTTCTTGGCAAACTAGAAAGGTTTTTAAGCAATCTGATATAAATTCTGTGGCTTAACTATGCGAATCAAATATTTTACAATGTTACAAAATATGCCAAATTTTCAATTTTCGAGACGTTGCGACTGTCCCTACGGACTGGGAAATAATTATGGCCCCTAATGCGGTCAGAAAATTATTTCGAATCAAACCAAATCTAATTTAGTTCTTTCCTAGGTAAAGTCCTTCTGTTGACAGAGTTTCAAGCAAAATTATTTTTTGACGCAAAATTGACCAGGTGGAAGTAAGAGAGACAGCCTCTTAAATAGTTTTCTATGACATTGAATTTGACACAATTGTTTTAAAACAGCTAGCTATCTCAAGAAAAGATGGCCAAATACGGTTTTCCACCGCTCTGATAGGCTCTACTGAGACCATTAAGAGCACTCAAAAATCACCTCTCCCTTTTGCAGTCGAACGACTTTCACACATGAGTGACCTAAGTTTGGAAGTTTGAAATAGTAGGTGTGGTATGGCATCGTCATTAATATGCTAATGTTATGGAAAAATCCCGTTAAAACAGTTTTTGAGGTCGGTCTCGAAAAAAATCCTACAGAGAGTTTTTCTTCAAATTCATTGTTTTCTTTTTTGTTCTGTGGTATTTTCGCAATAATTCGATTTGGCGCCCATGGAGCTTAATTACTGATGGTACCTTAAGGGAGGGTGCTTATTCGAAACAGAGCGCTTTTAAGGAGCAGCGAAACAAAGCACTGATGTTCATTGAAAAAGAATGGAAAACGGACATGTTATCCATGGATCCTTCCTAGCTAGAACGAGCAGCACAGCAATCGTCGCATAATTTTAAGACGAAATCATTCGTTTGAAGGAACTGTGCACTCGCTTGGACATAATAGTGGAGAGACTGAGACGTAGACCACGGTTCTTGTAATAAGACCTAATTGAGCAATTACAGGAAAAAGGACCACGGTTGATTTCAAAGTGCATACTCTAACAGTACTATCACTGAAACAGAATAAAGGCGCTTACAGGAATAGGGACACCTATTGGAATAAGGCATTGGGCAGAATGCCCATTGTTCTCGCGACATTTATTTGCAGTGGCGAAAATGTTATAGATCTGTAATATAAGCGCCGAAGCGTAAACAGGGAGGCTCTCATTGGTCGGAGATCACGCGCACTTTCCTCCGAAGGGAATACTGCCTTGGCTCATTAACTTTTCAAGGCGGAGCTAAGAAACAGAGGCCTCGAAACTAATTGTTTCATCTATTGTTTCTAATATCTTAAAGCGCGCGTATTTCAAGCTGGCTATGCGTTGTATTTTTAAATTCATCTACTTTAGATTTTTTCAAAAGCCATAACACTTTCATCTCTTGCTACAACCTAAACAAAATACATTTCGCTTCATGTCAAGCCTACGACAGTTTGATAAACAGCGGGTGTTTATTATTTATCGCTTAGGATTCGATTGTCTCATCGAAAAATTACTTACATCATAAATGAAGGACAATATAAAGTCTTTGAATACGGGCACTTATTGACAAAACCAAATTCTTGGGGGCACCCTTGAACGAGGGTGCTAAATCGAATCATTACGGTAAGAGGAAACAGAAAAAATTCATTTCACAACTCATTCATTAATAAACTATTTGTGTACTCACGACATCCTCTATTATCGGATCCATTACGACAGTCACTTGTTCCATCACATTTCAAATGACCTTGGATGCATCTTCCATCGCAGCGAGACATTTTCTCTGGACAATCCGGGGCTTCCCTATGCCGACATCCAATTTCATCCGACCCGTCAGTGCACTCAGAAGAACCATTACATTTCGAACGTAATGGAACGCAACGTTGATTGTGACAAGCGAACTGGCCTTCACTACAGGTCTTGGCATCTAAAAGAAAGAAAAATATAGATAGAATGTATTTTAACAACTAATCCAACACCAAGAATCAGGTATCTTCCATATCATCAGAACTACAAGGCAATATGGATGTCAGAGTACATGAATTTCCAAAGCTGAGTAAATAATATACTTGTAAATGACATGAAAATATGATGACGTGCTTAATCCCTCAACTATTAATTAGAATTTAAGATTTTATGACTTTGCCCTGGTTTTGACACTCCCAGAAGTAACTTAACCATTGAGAAATTGTCCACAAATGTGCCAAACATTCCATTATGGACAACACAATTGAGTCTTGATAGTAACCTAGGCTCACCATCTTTTTTAACTCTCACTGTGATCTGTTTAAACAATTAGGAGTTAAACAAAAGATTCCTCTCATAAGGAAATAATGTTTTCGGTGATAACTAAGGCAGCAGCCATTTTTAAATCACTCATTGTAGTTACTCATAATGACAGCATCCACAGTAAAATGTTTTGCATATTTGAAGACATTTTTTTCTAATGTTTAGTTACTTTTTAACATAAGGGACGTTGCTAGTTTTATTTCGAAAATCTTCTTCGATGGGATATACTAAGGCTGCATGTAAGGCTAAGTAAACATATCCCATAGAAGTAGATCTATAGCTATCATTTAAGCTGAAATTATTTACTGGAATGACTACCTCCACGAAATTTCGACATCTCACGGTAATCTTGAACACTTTTTTTTAACTTTCAATTAAACTTTGTGCCGTTTGCCTGAGCATAGAGTTTAGTCAGTTAGAGAGGCTACGTCACGACTCGCACGTGCATACAATGAATCAAGAAACTAGTAAAAAAAAAAAACATTGGGCCGATGGCAGCCACTACCTTGGAGTTCCATACAATCCATTAAATCCTGAGATGTTGCGATCGCAGGAAGATCTAAGATTAATCATAATTTTACAGGTCTCACTTTTGCCTCCGTGTGGGTTGCGATGTTGGCACGAGTTCTCTCGACCAATCATAGAGTAAGGTCAATAGAGTCACAGGTTGTTTCTGAAACGAAATTGATAATAGCACTTTCTCGAATAATAAAATAACTTAGACAACTTGCGCGGTAAACTAGAGTTAAATCGTTTCACAAGTCAACTTCGCGCCCGAGTCAAGTTCGAGTCGACATAAATTTTTGCCCTCTTTGTAAAATAATATCGTAAGACAATACACTATGATGGAAGCCGCCCAAAAAAGTAGAACAAACTCGATCTTTAAATTATGTCGTTTACCTTTTACTTCAGTCGAGACACCTTATTTCGTCTGTTTCAATCTTACCACGGACAAGAATTCTTGCATTCTGAATTGTTGCTAAGCGTTCTTGCACCGCTTATACTGTTACGGATTTGTCGCGAAGTTTACAACACGTTTCAAAGTCAAGAAATATTAAAACCCCGGTGATAACCACAACTGATGCTCAAACTACAAAAAAATTGAACTCGGGCTTCCAACTAGACACAGCGTATTCCACGCATTATGTAACATGGCTCGACAACTTTGTGATGCTTCGAAAATTTTGAACAAGTGAAAGTGGCATGATCATTCTGATAAAACAAATGTTTTACAGAGGAATGATATCTGCCCCCCACATTTTTGGAATGTTAACTTCTTTTGAACGCAGCTGTGAATCAGTGCAGAATAAACCCTTGCAAACGGCCGTGAAAAACGTTTAAGCTTAAAAGTAAATGTTCTTGTATTCCTGATACCATGATCAAATTGACACAGATATCGAAACGAAAATAATAAAAAAAAACTTAAAAGCAAAAACAAAGGAGAAATTTTTAGGGACTCGAGATTGACCTGTGACTCTGGCAAACTTGACTTGGGCTCGAACTCGTGATGTGGTGTAAATCGATTATCTAAGTAGTTGCGCCGCTTTAAGCCTTTATTTTTCGCTGCACGGTAAAAGTGAAGAGAATTCCCCAAACTACTTTCCGAGAAGAAAAAAGTTGCCATGTTTTTGCTTCAAGAAAATTGTAACGAAAAACTAACAGGATTTTCATGCAGAAATTTATTGAAAAAACAAGAGAATATCAGCTGATATTCTCGTGGAAAAACTGATTTACAAGAAAACGAATATCACAAGCATGGTGAATGTGTGTTGAATTCCTAAATGTAATAACTGTCCTAAATGTAATAAAGTCCTAAATGTAATAACATTTGGTCCTAAATGTAATAACATTTGGTCCTATATGTAATAAAGTCCTAGATGTAATAACATTTAGTCCTAAATGTAATAAGCCTCCAATGCAATTGTTTAACTCCTTCAGAGCATTGTTGTTATGGCGGACATCCACATTGAGATGTTAGTGACAGCTGTTGCACCAATAAAACCGCTGACCAGTATACATGTCACATTATGGGCTCGCTGATATCAATCAGCGTTTTTTTACTTGCTAGACATAAGAAATATCAGCAGTTGAAGTATGGTCCATAAAGCGGTTTATTGATCGAGTTGAAGAAAATCATTTCCAGCCCAAAGTAGGCTGGTGCTTGGCTGGAAGCTCAATAGGATGGAATCGATTGGTGGGTAATCATCAAGACTTTTTGGAAAAGAAATTGACTACAATTGATAATGAACTAGCATGCTATTGTTGATGTTATCGTTCGTGTAAAAGTCTTTAGTAGTTATGCACCATTTTAGAGCAGTTTGAATGATTTCGCTGTGTCACATGTTAATCCAAAAGAAAATTATTATTATCAGTAGCGTAACTGAAATTTTGCACATCAATGTTATTCAGTGTCAATTGATTTTAATGAAGCATTTGAGTTCATTTTTAAGAATGACTATCCTGATTTATTCAATTTTGAACCTGGGGTATTGCATTTCTAGCCCTCTATGGCTTTACTCCACATCAGTAATCAATTCATGTATCATATGACTATAAGTGGAAACTGTTGAGCTTTCTTTTTTCATTCATTTATTTATCTGTTCATTTTCTCCCCTCACGGCGGGGAGAAGAGATGAAGACAAAAAATGAAATATAAACTTGAGATCAACTGTAAAATATATTTTTCCTAATATTTCGGTTCGGGAACAGATGAACCCATCATAAAGTGCTAAAGGAAAAAAATGAATGGTTCATTAGACCGTCAACTGACCATCATGTTGTAGCTCAGTGGTTCAGTTTGACTCTTGCGTGGAAAAAAGGCAACATGTCGAGACCTATGATCGTGAAATGGGATGACATATGATTGGTCATTAGATATCTTGCTCTATAAGTCTCTTTATCATATAGCTAACAGCGCACGCGGGCAAGATAAAGTGAATCCTGTGTTCTGATTGGCTACCTGAGTGGGTATGATAGGCCCACCCTTACCCGCTCGGGAATCCCCGTATTGATCCCACGCAAGAAAACTTGCAAAGTTCGTAACTTTTGGACAATGTTTGCATATACATAGAAAAAGACAAACGACCCTCTTGAGTTTATTGTGCTGCAAACACAGTTGGCTTTCACTATCGGCTCTCAAAATAAACAGGCCATTCTTGATTCTTATCAAAGCGAAATCTTTTGCTATTCAATGAATCCTTTAATGATTAAGCCAAGAGAATATGAACTCTCTTGACCAAGCTTGTATGGTCAAGATTACTGGATGTTAGCCTCGTTCTTTTTCTACTTTTTTATGGACCGAAACTTCGCATGACGAGCTTTGAACACCAAAAGAATTCGGCCCCCCACCATCTACTCGAGGTGTTAACTCCTGTCAGTAATACTTATGGCTTTATTGACTTTTGTTGGATAAAATCAATTAACACGTTTAATATACAAAATATCAATTAGCACGTTTCATGAAATAATAACCCACGGCAGATCTTGCAATCAGTCCATAAAAACGCAAAAAAAAAAAAAAAAAAAAAAAAAAGAACTCGGCCAATATCCAGCCATTTTGACCTCACGCTTGGTCAATAACGCATATGAATATATTTTATGCAGACCCGTACAAATCTGGCAAGGGAAGACAGTACAAAAAATGCCCTTTCGAGCCCAGAATTTGTTTAACGTATAAGTCGGTGGACTTCCTTTTCCTTGTAATTCGGTTCATGAAGTGCTAACTTCAGCACCGATGACAAAGGTATATCGTCAAAATCTGTTACACTTAAGAGTCTGAGCCAATGATATAAGGAGAGCTATTGGTCAACGTTCTCATTGCTTTTGCGTCCGTCAATTTGATGCCAAAAGCACATCAGTATCACGAGTACGGTTTTGTAGCCAATGTTTCTCAACCTACGTCTTTAGCAAATAAAAAGACGCTAATTAATATCAGTGAGCCCGCAATATTCCATGAATATTGGAAAGAAGATTCTTTGGTGCAACAGCTGTCACTTTGACATCTCAATCTTAGCGCAGTTAAACGATTGCATAGGAGGCTTATTACATTTAGGACCGAACATTATTACATTTAGGGCTTTATTACATTTAGGACCAAATGTTATTACATTTAGGACTTTATTACATTTAGGACAGTTATTACATTTAGGACTTCAACAAATGTGTACTTCACCGGCTCGCTCATTAGCATTAGTATGTATGACGACACAAAGTCTTGAGGCTTTGTCTCCTCTAAAATCACATAGAAATCACTCTGAGAAAGAAAACGCATTAATCTTAATAAAGAGGTGGCCATAATAAAACAAGTGACTCTGATGCATCTATCGACTGAATCTCTGACATCTCATAGAACATAACTTATGAAGTTTAAATACCTTTAACAATGAGCTGTATTGTTAGATTACTTTTGCCGCAGTCGTTCACCACAACACAGGTGTAAAAGCCGGCGTCCTCTTTCTTCGCCTTTCGTATCCTTAGGTATCTATTGATGACTGTACGTTGATGACCTCCTCTGAGAGTCTGATTGTCCTTGAGCCAGTAATACTTTAACGTTTGGTTCGGATCAATGATCTTGATCCAGCACGGGAGTCTTTTATTCTTCCCGCTGTTAACCTTGATGACCTTTCTGGGCTCGCTTCCATTCTTTCCACGGATGTCAGGAACTGAAACCGGAGAGTTATTTCTGTTAAATCTCTGTTTTACATTCAGAGTAAACTGAAAAGTTGTGGCCTTGTTCGTTAAAATCTAAATACGTGTTGTTTTTATCTTAACTCCTTATACACGTCACCTCAATCGCAGTAAATTTCAAGGACTACTTTTAGCGAAAAACTAGACGAAAACGGCTGCTATAGAAGCTAACAATCTATTCAACTTGTAAGGGGTTGGGCCTAGCGTTCATAGCGACTTAGCGTGCTTTCGTTGTCTCGCTCTTGACTCAGGTCGTAGAGCGTAGCCCCATAATTATACAAAATAGTAGTAACCCATCAAGCCGAAAAAATTTGTATGACCGTTCGACCGTACAAGGTGCTACTTTTAACATGCGTGGTCAACTGTACCGCGGGCACGCCAACGCCACTGCTTTGTTCAATGGTCCAGTGGTCAGTGCACTGGGCTCCCAGTCAGACAACCCGGGTTCTAACCCTGGCCGGGGCAAGGCGCTGTGCCCTTGAGACGTGAGAGAAAAAAAAATTGCTAGCTCCGCTTTTAGGCTTGCCTAAATCTATATATTACAAAATAGTAGTAACCCATCAAGCCGAAAAAAATTTGGATGTACGACCGTACAAGGTGCTACTTTTAACATGCGTGGTCAACTATATCGCGGGCACGCCAACGCTACGGCTTTGTCCAGTGGTCAGTGCACTAGGCTCCGAGTCGGACGACCCGGGTTCTAGTCCTGGCCGGGGCAAGGCTTTGTGCCCGCGAGACGTGCGGGAAAAAAATGCGAACTCCGCTTTAGGCTTGGCTAAATCTATATATTATGCCAGGACCTTTCACTGATCGAAATAGCTTTGAAGCATGTAGTGTACCCACCACTTTTGCATCACGTTCAAAAAATGTATTGGTAAATACAAGTAACTCTTATTTTCTCTATGGCCTTGAAAGATACAGAAATGTTTAAATTGTGAGAGCTATCCTTTGCATCAGGAAAGTAAGGAAATGTTTACATCTAATGCAGGCTTGACAATTGACCCCTGGGTGACGGAAAATGAGCCCCTGCTTGGGGAGGAATGAAGAAAAAATTAGAGTCGCTTTGGTGCAAACACCTCTTTACTTGAATCCAGTAGCAACTGAGATTTGATTGAGTTTCCTTGGATCACTAAATAACTGAACAATATTATTGAGGTCTGATAACTAAAAATTAGATAGATATGTTTTTCGAAAGTAAAGATGTCTCCGTTTCTGGCTATGAAAATCTTAAATATATCAAGCAGCGCCAGTGATCGATCGTCTCTCTTCTTTAGAAGAAACCTGTCACTATATTTTTTGTACCACACGTTAAAGCTCTCTCAGAAAACCAGGTGCACTATCTTAATGTGCTTAGGCCAAGAAGATTGTTCGCCTTCAATTCTCGGTCTCTTTGCGTACTGTGCTGCGAAGCTGTTAAATAAAGCTAGTTGTTTCTTGCAGCGATTCTTTCGACTGAGAAATAATCGCTCTTTCTTCACGCCTGCAGCGTAACTATCTCTTAAAGAAATCTGTAAAAACCTTGAGATTCTGCGGCAAATGATCCAACTTTTATCGACGACCGAGGCGCTGTTTACAAATGCAAGCCGAAACCAAGTGGTTTCGTAAGCGCGATTCTAATCGAACATCGTCCTCTTCTTACTCTGTACCAAAAATCGCTCAAAATCTCTTCTTATATCCTTAAAGCAAAGTATATATTGGAATTCGGACGCTGAATCGCAAATTTAACCGAAAAATGAAAAATGAATTCACTTCAGTGTTGCTGTTTTATCTCAATAACTTTCACGCTAGCACGTGACACTTCGCAAAAAGATATTAAATTGGAAGACAGAGTGCTGGGTTTCGTGGACAGAGGAAAACTAAAGAAAAACAAACAATTACAAACACAAATACGAACTTAACCCCTCGTGATGCTAAGTCCAGAATTAATGCACTATTCCTGCGACCTAAATCTGTGGATGAGACCTTCTCTACGCTTTCTAAAGATATGTGTAAGAGTTATTTGCAGAGCAAGATTGCGGCAGCATCAGTGGGACATATTTAAGGTGGATTCACACCAACCTGAACACGCACGAGTGTTCCGTCCATCATCCAGAACGCCCAGAACACCTAGAAGAACCGTCTTGAGTATAAGCGAACTAAGTGTCATGGTCACCAACAACCGAATTTCTTGTTTTCACTGACTCCACCTAAACAGCTTCGATTATAATCTCAGTTGGAGGATGTAAGGAAAAAAGCGACAGTTGACCAAAGGAGATGTTGGTAAACCAACCAATTAACTGTCAGAGCGGAAGTTCGGATTAGGTTCTCAAAGTTCACCATCAGGCTCCCGCGGCACTTTCCTACTTCGCTTCAGTTCAGTTCGTCATTCGTGCAGTTTTTATCTCGGCATTCTTTTCATCTTTGCAAGCATGCCTAAAGGTCATTACTCCGTATGCTAATCTACTGTTCATGAGGTCAAACTCTCTGCCAGACGCCTGACGGTTGAAGTCGAAACTCCCTTTTCATATGGGTTTCAGTTGTGGTCTGCTCGTTCACACACCCATCCAATCATATCATGATCAAACCCAATAATAGTGCAATTACGGTTTGACATGCTACTGAATTTGTCCGCAGTGATTTAAGAAAAAACTCATGAATAAAATCTGATCGACTAGAAAGTTTGCGGCAAACTTCGGCACAATCAAACAAACAAGAAACCCAACTGAGGACGTCGGCACAAAACTCAACAAGATTAAGATCTGAGGGAAAAAAATAACAAAAAGTACCTCACAAGGCTGAAAACAGCTTCCCTTTCGACACAGGGAAGTGCTCGCTTGGAAATAGCACGCACTGCTACATTGGCTAAAAATCCGGACAGGAATTTCCCACGCCTTATGTTAACGTGTTATGAAGTATTTCGTTAGTCTAGAAAGCCAGTTGGTCAGTTAGTAAAGTATGACTCAGCCTTTCGTTTACATTCCGAATGTGGTTACTGTATGATTTCGAATTCTGAAGTTATTAGGGTTTGGGCTGTCGTGATACAGCTAATTCCCCGACATTTAATCACGTAACAAACGTAAGCGGTAGTAGCCACAAAAAACTATATTGGTTATAATAGGATATAAAATTTCATTAGCGTGATCGCGTTTTAATGATGTCACAAGATACTTTCACTTTCACAATTACTATTAAAGCGGATGCTTTGAGTTAACCCCTATAAAACTATATATCATTTTAAAGTTTATAAACTACTTAATTTGATAATAAACTTTCTTTTTTCGGAAATAGAGTGATGAGAATTTAAAAATAAAAAGAGAAAACTACTCATGTCACCGTTCGTGTGCCTTTAATCAATTAATACGTGCTTGCGTCTTGTTTCGGAAAACAGTCTTCAGGAAGTCAGCACATATTAAGCTGACTGACTCGACTAAAATCTTATTAGTAACACGGTGCCAATTTTCAAGAGAATTGGTTTATTTCTGTGTGCTCCGAATTCGAAAACGTTTGGCTAATTGGTTCGAAAATAAAATTAAGAAGAGAATAGCTCTTCCAAAGTTTTCTTTAACGATTTGTTTACTTTGATCCGAATTTGATTTGTTTTTCTTTAATTCTCGCGAGAAATAATATCTTTATCTGCTAAAGTAGTGGTTATCGATATATTACATAAGATAGCATAAACCGACAACTCATTTTCGCAAAATTTCGTCCCTAAAAGTATTACGTGTCTATAAGAAAAGAAACGCCTGTAACTTTCCATTAACACTGTAAAAATCAAAACGGACTTGGGGAGTGAGGATGAATAAGAGGAGTGGTAAGAACCGACAATGACAGTTTCAAATGATTACGCTTGTTTTTTTTTTTTTAATAGAATTTAGCTACTTATGATTAGCCCCTCTGAAATGTAAAGAATGACCTTCGAATTCGAGAAGCCACTGGAAGTTGAACATTAAAGGAAGCAGGCGAAACTTGTAACGTCTATCGTTATGGATTTTCGACCGTAAAGACTCACGTCTATTAAGTCAGATTTTTTTTATATTTGCAGTCAAGACTCATCACTACTATCAGATCAATCAGTGTCCTTATACTCCGGCAGTTCGCGTTTCATTTGACAAATTGTGGCGCGGTTGCGCGAAACTATATTTCTGGATTTGCATGTTGCATTTACATTTGCTGTTTTAAACATAGTTAATAGGATCAGAAAACTGAGCAACTGCTTTATTTTCCTTAAAGCCTGATTTTTACAGTTTCATGCTAAACAACCGGAAGAAGTTTGCGTTTTTAGGGTTGTAGCAGTCGAGAGGGGCAGGTGATAAAAGAGCGGACTTTTTCTACCGCCGCACCATTAACTTCTCCTAAGGTCTCTTAAAAATAAGAAAACAGCAACTTTTGTGGCTGAAAATGAGGAAGTGGGAGCTCAGTTATATTTTAGCCCCATCAACCCTTGGAGCGCCACTGATCCATCTCCGCTGCAGATGTTTGAGCGACTTCGTTGATTACATGTTTCAAGCGAAGGTACGCGAAGAGAAACACCAGTAACGTAAGTTGAACTGGCCAAAACGGCGCTAGTGTTGCTCCGAGGTAGATTTCAGCGAGGTTCACCGTTTTCAGATGACAGATGGAAAAAAACAGTGAATATCTGTACAGAAAATGTTCGTGACAAAATGCCACACTGTTGTTCGTCTGGTGTGAGAACAAATACAGCGATCACGTTTAGCAAGTAGATATCTTAATGGGGTCATCCAGAGGTCAGTGATCAGATCTGTCGGCAAAGCTCATGGGCCAAAAATAGGGAAAAGAGTTGCATGTTTTTTCAAAACCGAAAATTATTTGAGTTGAACCACGCTTACTCGGACTCCCATGGGAAACGAAACATAGTTCAACTTAGCGGGGTTCACCGCTCTTGCACAACCAACAATCATTTT